ATGGGCCCCCGGACCCCCGCGCACTGAGCCGGGGCCCGGCCCGACGATGCTGACGCCCAGGCGGCGCCGGGGGCGCGGCGCGGGGCAGCGCTGAAAGTTGGGCGGCCCGCGGGGAGCGGCGCGGGACGGCCCGGAGGCGCGGAGACCCGGAGACCGACGGACACGTCCACCTGCAGCCGGGGAGGGGGGCGGGGCCGGCCCGCCGAGTTCGCGGGGAGGGGGCGCCGGGACTCCCCTCTCCCCGCCCGGGACGCCGCCCGCCCGACCGCGCCGGGGGATGTAGAGCCCGCTCGCCGCCTCCTGGACCTTCGTCGGAACCTCCGCCCCGCGGTAAGCCGGGCCCACGCCCACCGCTGGCGTCGTCCGTCTGTCCGTCCGGCCGCGTGCGTGTCTGTGTGTCCCGGCTGGGCTCCGTGGGCCCCGCCCGCTGAGCCCCTTATCCCCGCGGGTCTCGGGTTCCAGGCGCGCGTTCAGCGCGGTCCGGCGACTCCCCGGGAGCTGGCAAGCTCTGTCGCTCGGTCGGTCGGTCGGTGGGGAGCGTGAAGGTCTGTCTGGGTTGTGGCCGGAAAGGCCGAGAGAGGTGGGTGGAAGAGGCCTTGACCTCCTGCCCCGGCCACGACCTTTCCCTGCCTCCACCCACCCCCGGTTGTCAGCCCGTTCTGAGGAGCTTCAAGACAGGTGACTTGTGGCAAAGGAGGGGGGGGGTCCCCTTTCCGCTTCCCCAGCTGCAACCTGTTTGCAAAGGGCCCTGGCCCTCTGATCTGACAGAAGACGTCCCACTTCTCATGCTCTGAGCACCTACTTTGGGCCAGGTGAGCCCAGGGTGCAGTCCAGTAAATGAGGTAGAGACTGTGGAGAGGCAAGGGCTGCTTTTCCCTCTCTGGAGGAGAGCCCCAAGGAAAGAGGTCTGAATGAACCCCTGAGCGGGGAAACTTCCCTGCCTCCCCACCGGCATCAACACCACACTTCTGCCGTGGGTGCCTAGGCTGTGAGATGGGGAGAGAATACAGGGAGATGGTAGGTGGGAGTGTGATGGAGGCACCGGAGGCAGGGCAGCCTGGCTAAGCTGGCAGGTGAGGCCCTCAAGGCCAGTAGGATGCTTAGCAGTGGCTTGGGGGAACCGGGACCTGAGGGACGGAGGTCCCAGGGCCACGCGTACGAGACCCAGAGAGGAGCCAGACCCGTGTGTGTGTGTGTGTGTGTGTGTGTGTGTGTGTAAAATGTCTGTTCCGCTTCTCCCCACATACAGTCCTGTGACCTCCAGGGCTTCGGCAGTTTGGGGAGCTGTTGGCAGGACTCTGGGGGCCCTGCGAGCCACGCAAGCCCTGCCTTGGCCTGGGATGGGAGGAGCCAAAGCTAGAAGAGGTGGTGGGATAAGGTCTGGGTTGCAACATGGCAGGTGCACGGGCTGCTGGCCGTCGAGCTGACCCATATCCAAGTTGGAGCCTGGAGGGGTGAGCCTAGAACATTCGACCGTTTTCCACAGGGAGGCGGGCTCTTTTGGGGGCTTTCCACGCTGGGCAGGGGGCTTCACATACCCTACATTCAGGCTCCTGGAAATCAGCTCACTAGCTGAGGGACCAGCACCCTGAGGCAGTCACTCTCCCCCCCGACCCTCAACTTCCAGAGCTGTGGAAATGAGGACACGGCTCCCTGCCCCACTGACCTCCAAGGGCTCAGATGAGCGGAGGGCTGTTCACAGACTCAAGAAAGTGCTGGGCAGACGGCAGCGAGGATTCCTTTTACCTTCAGGAAGGTGAACAGCTAACGGGGAGGGAGTATATGGCCTCCAAGAGAGGACTGACCGAGGAGGGGAATGTCCAGGAGTTAGAGGGGCATCTGGGGCTTGGGCGCTATTCCTCAGGAACCTTTGGGGATCCTGGAAAAGGAAGCTCCTCTCCCCATGAAAGCCTTTGGGGTGACTGGGAACAGGCAGAGCTGGCCTTGAGTATCTGCTGGGTGACCTTGGGCCGCTGGCTCGACTTCTCTGGGCCTCAGTGTCTTCAACCGGAGAATGGGGACGTTGGTACTGACTCCACTGGGTTGCCGAGCGATTTGCCGACTATTTCAGGCCTCTGAAAGCAGCCTGCAAAAGCCTGGAGCATAGTAGGTTCTCAGACATTTGCAGAAACCAGGATGAAGTAGCTCTAGAGGCTGTGGAAAGATTTCTTTGCTTCGGATAAGAAGGAAGGGGAGGAGGAACAGTGTAGGCTTACAGGGCGGGTTGGTTCTTAATGTGGATCTGGGGGAGGCGGGGGCGAGTGCCGAGGGGGGTGTGAGGAGGAGGGGCCCCCTCTGCGGGGACCACTGAGTCACGAGGACATGGAAGCGACATGACAACCAGCAACATGGTAACCAGGAAACTCGTGGCGGTGGGAAACGGAGCTGGAGCCGTGTGTCGGGGAGGGGTGGGGGGGTGGCAGTACCGGGGCTGGAGGGTCCGGGCAAGAAGCACCGGGCTGGTCTCCCAGAGTGAGTAGGGGGGAGACCCTGAGGTCAGGTGGGCTAGGGTGGAGAGAAGGCGAGGGCAGAAGGAGAGGCGACCCTAGGGGCCGCCGGGCAGGGGGCTTCTCCCGCACCTCCCCAGGCTCCTCGCTCCTCTCCTCCACATCTCCACTTTTCATGCCTCTCCCCCTAGGATGCCAAATTTGGCTCACGCAATCTGTCGTCTCTCTTCTGAGATTGGCACCGGGACCAAAGCCGAGTGCATTACATCACCGCCGCTCCCCCTGCACGAGGAGAGGGAGGGACAGAGGGCCGGGGGGCAAGTGGCCAAGCCTCAACTTTCATTCCTGTCTTCCTGCTCACTCTTGCTGCCTCGGTCCCAGGCGTTGGGGGCTTCCGGGGAGCAGGCAAGCAGGGCCTGGAGGCAGGACGAGGGCTCCCATCTTGGAGAGATCCCAGGGCCAGGGCCGGAGGTCAGACCGCGTCGCTGTCCCCCTGGCTAGGTGGCGCCTGGGAGGCAGGGAGCCTAAGTGCAGCACGTTCTGTCATCGCCTTGCTGTGTGTGACCTTGGGCAGGTCCCCCCGCCCCCCACCCCCGCCCTGTGCAGTGTCTACATCTGTGTGGAGAACAGTTGGCCACTCGAGAGCTTGGGGACTCTCCTGAAAAAAGATGCCCTTGGGTCCTGCTGCGCTCCTGGGCACAGAGGAGGAGTTCTGCATTTTCAGTGGCTCACTGTGACTTTTAGCAAGACCTTAGACCTGCGTCTCTTCACCTGTCAAATGGGGTCGACAGAGCCCTCAAAGGCGCTAAATGTGAAAGAGGTACGAGACACACAGGTGAGAGACAGGGGAAGAGACGGGGGGGGTCTCTGGCCCTGAAACCACAGACCCTCGGGGACCCTGTGGCTCCCGGCAGACGGGGCTGGAGGTGACGGGGGCAGTAGACCAGTATCTCAATACAGACAGAAGGCTTGGCCCTTAAATCACTGGGCTGACGTCCTTGTTTTAAAAACCGGAAACCGCAGCCCAAAGAGGGAAGTGGACCCCCACCCCGAGGCCACAGTGGTGGTTCGGGGGGTAGAGGAAGTAGAGGTGGGGCCTGAACCCGGGGCTCCTAGTTCCCAGCCCTGCCTAGAAGCAGATAGGCAGGAAGATGCCTACCCCGTGGAACACTGTGGCAAGACTGGACAGGACTCAGGAGTTTGAGGGCCCCGTTCTCACTGTGGCCTCCTCTGTTCTCCCTTCCCGCTCCTTGGCTCCCATCACCTCCACCATCCCTGGGCATTAATCCCTCCTTCATTTGGTCTGTTTCAAGAGCTCCCTTTTGGGCTTTTTTTTTTTTTTAAATATGTTTTTTTTTTTAAGTTTATTTATTTTGGGGGGGGGGGGGGGGCAGAGAGAACGAGAGAGAGAAAATCCCAAGCAGGCTCCAAGCTGTCAGCGCTGAGCCTGACACGGGACTCAATCCCACGAACTGTGAGATCGTGATCTGAGCTTGAAATCAAGAGTCGGCCGCTTAGTGGACTGAGCCACCCAGGTGCCCCTTGGGCTCGTTAAAAAGATTTTTTTAATGTTTATTTATTTTTGGGAGAGAGAGAGCACGCAAGCAGGGGGAGGGCAGAGAGAGAGGGAGACCCAGAATCCAAAGCGGGCTCCGGGCTCCAAGCTATTAGCACAGAGCCTGACACGGGGCTCGAACCCATGAACTGCGAGATCATGACCTGGGCTGAAGTCGGGCGCTTAACCGACTGAGCCACCCAGACACCCCACCTTGGGTTCATTTTAAAGTGAGTTTCAAGCCGTCTCAGGCAGCGACAGGCTAGGTTTGGAGTTAAGCTAGAAGATTATGGCCCCTTCTAGAAGATTCTCAGAGCTGGAGGTAGAGAAAGATGGGGAGCCTCTGGATGGTTTGTGAAGTAGTGAGCTCCTCATTCCCAGAGCTATTTAAGCAGAACCAGATGAGTACCTGCCAAGACCCAGTGAGTCCTACTTTATGGGTGAGTTTGAATGACAGTCCCGCCTCCCAAATCCCAGGAGCCTTTCCTATCCCAGGAGGGGCTGGGACGCAGACAGCCGTTGCTCGCCCGCTTTCCAGCAAGGAAACTCACTGTTACGCCGGGCACTGGGCTGGGAGCTCTTTGCAAAGACTTTCTCTTGCAATCCTCCCATCAACCCCGCAATGTCGATTTGATGTCCCTGTGCCACAGATGGGGGAGCCATGGCTCAGAGAGTCTATGTGATCTGCCCAAGGTCACCCAGCAGGGAAGTGAATGAGTCTGGATTTGAGTCCTGGCCAGTCTGATTCTCGGGGGCTGTCCCTGGGACTTCCTTGAGAAAGGAGCGGAAAAAAGTCCCTCCCCTGGGCCGGGGCTTGGCAAGAGATGATGTGTCGCCCCCACAGCATGACACCCCCTCAAGGATCCTCTGGGGGCTCCATTCTGGAGACATAGTTATAGACGTGCACCCAAGGGAGGACTCGCTTTACAAATGGGAAGACTGAGGCACAGAGACGAAGAGTGACCCGCCCAAAGGTGCCCAGAGAGTCGGATTTGGGCCAGGGGTCTTTCCCTGCGCTGGTGAGGCAGGAGGCTCCTTTGGGCCGATGACGGTGTTCGGTCTGGGATTGGAGGTGCAGGCTGCTCAGTGGTTTGGCAGAGGGCTGAGAGAGAGTGCTGGCTCTAGGCTAGGGCCGTGGGGAGCGAAGTCGGCCTCCAGAACGCGGGAACGCGGGGACGGGAGCAGGAAGACAAATCAGCAGGGACAGCGGGTCCACTTCTGTCCTCCCCGGTCCTGGTCCTGCCCGCAGATGTCCATGTCAGACCCCCGGTGAAGTCAGGGGAAACTGTGGGTGGGACCTGCCTGGCAAGAGCGGAGGCTCTTGGAGC